CTACGGAAATTACAGGATATTTGAACACTGTGACGTACGTTTCGCGCTGCAGTTTGACGAAAATGCCAACAACAAAACTGACGATAAATTGCGCGAATTAACTGTAATGAGCTACCAATTTTATAGCTCTGCATATATTTGTCCGCGATAGAAAAGTTATTCAACATTTTTAAGTGATTTAGAAGCCTGATTATTAATTGCCAACGTTTCACGCTCGTATAAGTACTTGTAACTTATGCAACGAAATTTACATCCGTAAACAAACTTCTGCCTAAGCACTGTTTTGTGTTCGCGCAAAAAGAAGCTCTAAATTTCGTGGCGACGTTAAACCAGGTACTCTGCATAACTATGCACCGGATGCTGCAGATATTATAACTACGCATGCTGCTACACGCTGAAGGAGCAAACATGGATCAACAATCCCGCCATGTTTGTTGTTGGACAACGCTGCGCCTCGAACTTTTGGTATCACGGGATTGTGTGTCGGTCGAGCGAATCTCGAAGTAAGCCAGCGAGTTACACGGTAGACGGGAAACCTATTTTGTTTCGCCAGACCGGTTTCGCGATTGAGATTCACGCACAGCTACCAACAGCGCTTCAGCTTCGCTCGATATTCGTAGCGTACCAGAGCGTAGGATCCAATAAAATGGTACATTTAGTTGCCCGTTACTCCGATAAAGCCTAGTCGAGACGGCCTATGGTATCAATTTTTCAAGGTTGCCGAGACGAGGGAGTTTCTTCGCCCTGCCACAGTAGCTTCTAGTCTTCTACCTTCCGATGAAAGCGGATATGTGTAACTCGTACAGAAAACACCGAAGTTATCACTGTTTTGTACATTTACAATGTTTAATATACGCAGTGATGGGTAAGATACTCTTAAAATTTATCTAGATACAAATACAGTTACACGTACGAAAATTTATCTAAATACAGTTATAGATACACATATTAAAATGTATATAGGTACAGAGAGAGAGAGAGAGAAAGAGAGAGAGATATCAGATACTGTTACATTAATTTTATTGTAATAATGGTAATGTGTAAAAAAATGTATTAGTTATTAAATGAATCATTCATTCATTTTTGTTACATTTAGATAATTGAAAAAATTTATAATTATCGTAAAACGATTTAAAATAAGAATTATAAGACGATATTATTCATCATTATTCATTATAGTTTTACAAACTAAAAATGCTTCAAACATTGTGCTTCCAGCTTAACTACACATGCGTTAGAAATTCCATAATCTAAGATCAACAGAAAAAGCAGCTGTGTAACTGTAAAATTCTTTAATATTACTGATTTGCATTTAGATTCAGTGAGGAACTAAGGGAAAGACCAATCATGTTATAGAATTTTGCAACAGCAAACCTGCTTTTTTTCTACTGCTTTATGACTATGCTGAGGAAATGTATCTGAAAAATGCATTTAAAAATCAGTTCAGATGCTGTGTTTTTTTTATCTAGATACAGATACAAATACTCGAATTTGAATATATCTCAGATACAAGTTAGATACACAAAATGTATCTCTATATATGTATCTAGATACTACCCAACACTGAATACACGGATGTACATACAACGTATGCATTGTATATCATCGATCATTCTTCGATCTTTGATAAAATCAGAATTAAATTAGCAGTTTTTAAAAGCATTATAGCCGATAATATCTGGTTGGTGTAAACGAGAAGAAATCGGATCGCTCGTACGTACTTATATAAAAATACAAAACGTACACGTACATGTGTGCTCGCGTATATACGTAAAAACGATCAAAGCAAACGGAAGGCAAGAGAGAAAGAGATAAAGAGAGAGAAAAGGATGGTAAACGAGGTCTCGTTTCTTTTTTTTTCCTAGTACACGTGGCGTATCCGTAAAATTGATAAAGTTTCGCGAGAACTTTTATAATACCCGGCCATGGAAGAATGTTCAAGTATATACGAGCTGGCAATTTATGTTGCGCCAGATCGCGTCGCTCTGTCCCGAAGTCGGCCATGGGCGGGCACGAAGGGATCGCCTCGAACCGTTGTATGTATCATGGGTGCACGCAGACTGTTTATCACTGCACTTTCGAGGGGGTATAACCGTCGTTAAAATCGTCCTGCGATCTACATTACAAAAGATTCGTTGCCGTCTCGCAGTAGTTCGGCACCGTGCGCGTATACGAGAGCATTCGGCCGCCGAGCTCCCTTCGTCGTTTCCTTCCTTCCTTCCTGGCTCTGTCTCGGCCGGACTCCTCCCAACTTTGCAATTGTAATCAACGATAACGATTCCGGCACCTCGTTCTACTATTCGCGCGAAATAACTCTCGAAATGCAAAACGGTCCTGTTTCAAGGTGGTATTTAAAGCGTTGTCCGTGAACTCGTCTTTTTTTTGGACCTATTACCTTCCTGTACGTTTGCATTAGGTCAGAATTTTACAGTTTCATGCGAGACCTCTGCGAGTCGCATATGTTTCAAATATCTTAATGGTCAGTAACTACGTGCATCACTGACGTATGTTTTAGATTCGTTTAAAAAGTTTAGCGGCTAATGGATGGCCAAAGTTGGCGAGTCAACCGAATGAGTCGACGTAGCACACTTCTCGTTGTATGACTTGACGCAACAATACGACGTACGACGTACACCCGTATCAACTTTGCCGAGTTCGTCGGAAATATTGCGTCGAAACTCGGAGGAAGTTCGAAAGCGGAATACGCCAGGTTACACTAAAGCGTTGCTGCTAATACGGCCGTAAGTTTCATACGTTTGATACCGGCGCGACGCGTATGGATACTTATGTACAAAGCGTCAGACAAACACGGAACGCTATATATATATATATATATGTGTATGTATATGTATACATATATATGTTGGATGTCGAAGCGCGACGACGCCGACGCGCGACGACGACGTTGTTTTCCAAAAGCTCCGTCCTACTTCTTCGTCGACGATGGATTCGTAAATCCGTCACCGTCTCGCCCGACGAGTCGAGTTCTCTCACTAGTCACGTCGCGAGGAATATGTCGCTCGCTAACTGCCAACGCTGCTATCGTTGCTGTCGACGATATTTGGAACGTTCGACCGAATTCCGAAACTTCCGGTCGATGTCCTTTGGCGCGCGTCGTCTCGTGACTAAACGACTGCGAATCGACGTAGCGATAAGTTTCCGCGAGAAAGGTCGATGGATTGACGCGACACCATCCAAACACAGTGGTGGTACGTCTCGTCTGCTAGGAAATATGGTACGATCGACGATCGAAAATACGGTGAGGAAAATAGATTTTCGCGTTATCGAACAAAGTGTTCGCACCGAGAGACAAACTCGCTTTTTAGAGGGGGAGCCTAATTTACCATCGTGGCGGAAGACGAGACTAATTGCAAGAAGGGCGGGTTACACCGAGTAGACGTCATAAATCTCGCGTCCTTCGTGTTTGCAATGGCGTGTTTGTCGTTACGGTGTAATTCGCGATTATCCGCCTGCCATTGTCGCCGTGACGTCGATTATAACGACGAAGAGCGAGAAATTTGTCTGCTGGATGTTGCAACTTCTCTCTCTCTCTCTCTCTCTCTCTCTCTCTCTCTCTCTCTCTCTCTAACGATATCATAATTACTAGTTTCAAGCGTGAGTAAAGATATATATATATATACACACACACACACACATATACAGACGCCGCATAGGGAAAATGTATCGCGCGACTCGGTTGACACGCACATATCAGTCTGAGATAACATCAGCCTTCCCCCAAGGAAATGTCCTAGTCAGCGCGTAGAATGTTATTCCTGCAGGACCGGCAGGTCCTTTCTAAGACGCGTCATATCGATTCGTCGTCGAGAACATCGTTGTGCTTGTGACAGTTCGGGAGTGAGACCCGCGTCTGGTTTCCTGCGAGAAGGGAGGGAGAGCGATTGCGAATCTCTTCTTGGTGTCCGTTCCAGTTCGATTGCCGAATACCTACTTCGATTTGCGAGAGCAAGCCCGTCTTTTTCGAGGATCCTCCGAGGTCTATTTATGTGGGCCCCGAAGAACGTACCCGCATCCCTTAGCACGATAATTCAGCCGCGAAGTTTCAAAGACGGGGGGGGAGAGGTGGGGCGGAAGTGCGGGGAAGTGGTAGGTACGTCCCGCTCGTAAAAATTAAACTCAAACTTACCGTTAACATTCATAATACGGAGCCGCGGAGCGACTTCGCCGGAACTTCGCCGCCGTATCTCTTTCCACCGTTGCAAAATAGGTCAGGATCCATTTTGCCGCGTTTCAATTATGCGATAGCGCGCGAACTTTCGACTCTGCTCGATAGTAGCCGGAGGACGATAAAATACTCGGCATAATCGAGCGATATTCATCCCTTAACTGACGGTACGACGAAGTTATCCCCCTCTACCTGCTTGATATTTGAGACAGATTGTTTGCCTCCGTTTGCTCGTGCGCCCGTTAACTTTCCCCAGTATAGTCTCGCGAGATGCACTCCCTGACTTTCTTACGTTAAGGTATCCCCGAACAATTCTCGGTAAGATGAACACACTTTGCGATCCATTTGTTCTGTTACTGGATGCCCGCCCAGCGCGTGTGCGCTACAATCCGAACTCACCTGTGGGTGATAAACGGCGAAACGCGGCGAGACGCATTGCTATCGCGATAGAATGCTCGGCGGAAATTGAAATTTTGACGGGACATAGGTGCTCATAGGAGAAAAGCCCGGAATACGGTTCCGTGCCCCATCTACGAATATATAAGATCGTACGTCATGGCCTGATCTTGCGCCGCGAACACGTTCCATGTCGATAAGTTATTCTCGATGATCCCCGTCGTCCATCTGGGCCGGAACATTTCCAATCGATTTACGAGAAGACAATATACGTGTAAATCTACGCGCGTCTCGCGCAAACGGAAGATTTCTATTTAAAAGATTCATTTTGAATTATCGCGAAGAAATACAATCTTTTCTCATTCAATTGTTATTTTTATAGACACAACTTATTAAAATCAATGTGTTACGCACTTACTTTCCATGAAAGTGTATGTCGCTTTAAAGCCTCTCGAATGGCGAGATGACGTTAGTCCCTGAAACTCCAAGGAAAGCCGCGGACCGTTGCTCATGATAGGCCGCGGTGGTATATCTCCGCAGAACGAATCTATTTTGTCCTTCTTTCCATCTATATTCACGAATGCCACCAGTGAATCGACCCCCTCGCAACTGTAATAAAAAAAATAATATATCATATTTATAATGCATTTCTTTTAGGTGTCATTTTACATATATATATACATATTATATTTGCAAAATTAATCATTTTATTTGTTTCAAGTGCATATTTACGGTTGAAATGCAACCAAAATTTGATACTTTCGAGCGCGATAATTATTGCACGGAGAACCAACAATTTCCATATAATTTCAATAATTACAATAATTGTAGATAAAGTATCTCTCACTTCTTGCACGATCAATTTATTACGTATAATATTCTATATATAATATGATATTAAAGAGTGAAGAGAAAAAATATAAAATATAAAACTTTGATAAAAAAAGGAAAAAATGTGCATATTCAGAAATTTATGTGATCGTAGAATAATTTTTAGTAAAATAGTTTTGATTGCGATATCTCACGTACATTAATCCACATTTGGTTTAAAAAGTTTTTGGACTGCCTCACAACGCAGTCGTGTTGCGACGTGTAGCCTTCGTTACGCGTCACGAAATAATATTCGATAGGAAAAACTTTTCATTTCCTCGACAAAAGATGCTCCGCTACCGAGGGGACTCGTATTTCCATTTCTGATTTCACGTCCCGTTAGAACACAAGGAACAGGAATCAAGATGTATTTGTCCCGGTACGCGCACCGGAGTGTGTACTGCAACACGTTGCACGGTGTCCAATTTTATATTCTGTGCTTACGACGCCGCTAGCGAACTTTGAACGATAACTCGACACCGAGTTGACATTCTGGAGTCTGGACTTTCGTTTCACAAACTCTTGACACGAGAACTCGCTGTCGTCCCTCGCGAAAATTATCCGTTACAATCTGTTCGTCGGGTTGGAAATACCAAATAATCGCAATCAGTTATAATCGACTTAAAACTATCAATTTCGCTTGATATATAACATGGTTATTAAGATAGAGAATCTCATATTGAAAATGAACATCTATAATATTTACAATAAAGTAATATAAAGATATTATAAGATAGAGAGAGAGAGAGAGAGAGAGAAAGAAAGAAAAGTGCAGTTTTTTTATCGAATATTTTTATATTCAATAAAATGCGTTTGCGATTGCTGGATCAAAAATATTCAAATAGATACATTAAAATCTACATTGCCTTTATCAGTAAATACGCTGCAAGTGCTATTTCACAGAAAATTCCTCCAAAAATAATTAAAATTACGTTGGTAAAGCTGCTATGTATATAATATAAGCTATATTATTGATTTTTCTCGCCCGCGTTCTCTCTTTTTTCTCTTTAAAATATATTTAGAAATATAATATTAAAAACAGATACATTGCATTAAATTTTTATTTAGTTTACCAACAGCTCTGATAATAAATTAATCAAAGTAAACATGATATGGATAATGTTGTAAAGTACACACTCGACAAGAGATGCATTTCGAACAAAGAAAATAATTTCGAGAACGGTATGTTTTGAACATACGGAATTTACGTCAAGTATATAATTAAAAAATTTTTATAAATTGTTGAACGTAAAAGAAGCAACATGTCCATCCTTTTTTTGATAGAATGATATGGCAAGCTTTAAAGAAACAATCATGTTAAACTCATTTTCACGTGAAAGTAGCCTCGTTCTCTTGCTGCGTTTAGCGTTTGAGCATTCCTATTATATTCCTCCTATTTGAGCTCAACATGCCGTGGTTTACTGTATCATAATTACGCAATTGTCCTGCGGGCACAATCCACAATGGATGGCTTTTAACCAACCAATTTACAATTCGCAAGACATAGCGAGAGAGAACCAATATAATGTATAATAAAGAATATTATTTGCCCATGCACACAAGGCCTACGTGCGTGATCATGTGCAGTGATTTCGTACATGAGCAAATTTGTGTAGCATTACTGCATGAATGGGTAACCATGCGCTCGGAAAATTTCGACCAATCTACTCGGATGATTGGAAGAAAACTGGATAGAAAAATCAGATGACGACGCGACGCGACTGCTCTTCAATGGACGTCTATTCAAAAGAAATCATCTTAGCATTTGAATGCACTCATGTTTCCTACATGCATCATAAGTAGATATCATATATATTACAAAACGTCCTGTGTCTTATGGAGAAATACGATAATACTTGCGTTACTTTAAGGTAATGTATTTTCATAAAACAACGCATAACAAAAACATTTTTAATATGATATATCGTAATATTGATGCGTATTCTTAAAAATATTGAGTTTTTTTTTAAAGCCTATTAGGTATATATATATATATATATATGTATATGTATATATATAATCAATTGAGTGTAATTTCAATTACATTAATAATGTGTGTAAATTTATTTGAAACTTTGCCGTTTTTCACATTACTGTCATAAAAAGAAAAGCAATACGTTGTGACAGTCAAATTATTCATGTGTGCATTATATCGATCGTATCGCTCTAGAGTTTATTTAATCGTAACTATCATTTCAACAATAGAGAAGCTCTTGTGATCACCGCATAATGTACAAGTGCAGACGATTATAAGCAATGAGGAAAGTACCAGTTGAACGTCAGTTCAATAGTCCGCGCGAGTCCTAATTGAATCGTATTTAAGATCAGCCACGTGGAAAATGAATGAGAGGATAAGTGATCGCAGCGAGTGCAATTGTCGGCGAACCCGCAGTGGTTGTATCACAGCGGTTTCCTGGAATTTCCTATGCTGATCTGTCTCTTCTCTCGGTCAGATTCTTCCTTCAATCTCTACGTTAGAGGAAACGCTCTCGGAATCGATCTCCGCTGCTTGGAACTCAGAGGTATTCTCGAAAGCTTGGTCAGATTTTTGAGAATAAGAATCTTTTGTCGGATTCAAATAAAATTTCTTACACTGGTAAAGTGATAATGCAACTTTACGTAAAGGAATGGGCGAATTTAGGCGAATGCGTATTGACCTGGAAGGGAAGAAAGCGCGATGTGCGTAAACGTGCCAGAAAAATTTGAAAATCTTCAAGGCATCAATTTTACTACATTTACTAAATTGGAACCTACGGTTTCTCCACATTTTCGACGTCGTACAATTTTCGAAAGCAAAGGGTAAAAGCAATAACACGTTAAAGTATAAAATAAAGCAGTACCAGCCTTACTCTTAAGCCGGCTTACAAAGCGTTTCTCATGGAATTTTGAAATTGCACTTGTATTCCAATGTAACAGCGTGAAGACAGATCGGGCGACGTCTATTACGCGCATGCAAACATAATGTTTACGGTAGCATGTACCTGTTGTGTCATAAGAATATATTGAAAGCTCTAGACACAATCTATGTGTTATAAGAGTTAAGAGTTACGTTGCTACCAAACACAATGATGTACTTGTGAAAAGACAGTTCTGTATAAATCCAGCATATTCACGACGTACAAATCGATCGCGCGTGTCTCTGACCGTGCAAGTCTCACGAAAACAGATATAATTTTCCGAGTGAAGATATATTCGTACAACGGATATATAGTTCAGCAGTGGAACTACATAAAATATGATAAACTTACTCATTTGGATTGCTCTGAGAATGAAACAGATTCAAGTCCTGGAATATCACCTGCACCCGTTCCTTTCCTCTTCCTTGGAAGTCGTATGTACAATGTGTCCTGGATGGATATGGATTCGGGTATCCAGGTGACATAACTATGCCTGTTTTTGTTGTATCGCTGTTGTAAACCATATCGCAGAGAGACGCTGTAACAAAGAGATGTACGGTGACTTAACGAGCGGCAACAGTTGACGAATAAAAAGGGAATGTAACGAAAGTAATTAATTGAGGCACAGCCAAAGGAAGAAAAAATGCCAATTAAATTACGCGACAGCTTCCTTCGTTGCTCTCATCTTTTTGTGCTGAAAGATACGTTGTACGAATTAAATTATGAATATTTCGTGTTTTAATTACAAGTGCTTGCGCATCGACGGCTGCTATAATATGCAAACGAGCACTGGCTCTGCTGTATCACGAGGACACATTGCATAAAAATCACGCAAAGACTACAAAAATATAATAATAATAATCATGACACATATTTATTAGTTCTATTAGTGGAAATAAAATATTCCAAATTAAAATATATACGACGAATTTTTGAAATCCCGCTCGTTGAAAGCGTACAATGGCAATATGAAGAAAAAAAATCTTTATTTGTGTCAGGCAAACCGTCTATTTGTTATCAAATAAATTAAAATTGTAATACAAAAGATATTCATGTCTCTATAGGCTTGTCGCATTTTTTTGATAGTTCGCCGTCTTTATGTGTCTACACTATTCGCATAGCATTAAGATTGAACGAGTCTCACAAGGAGGAAGGTATGAAATTATTTAATGTGATAAATATCTTAACCCGCTTTGCCGCGTATAACGGTACCACGATTGTAGCGCGTATTCGTTTCGAGTCTCTACGCTTTAATCTTCTCGACAGTTATTAATCTTTCCGTAATTTAACGCCAGAATCGCTGAAGTACGCTTCGCAAGATGAATCTTCCGAAGAAATGCCGTCATTAGGCAAACCTTGGCGTTACGCGTGAGCGTGCGTGTACTTGTATATTTTCCCGTGAATATATTTTCCGCGCTTCTCCCACGAGTTTCCTCTCACAGTATAAACAGAGCGCTGTCTATCCGTGCGTAAACCATTAGCGTTCCGCAATATGATTGTGAAATTCCAAGTTACACTGCACGTGTAAAGATGTAAAATTATATTTTACATATCCATATGTAAAAATTCATGTACAGAAATTGTGATAAAAAATTATACATAATCGAGATATACAGCTAAATATGTTTGTCGTCACAATCGTAGTTGCAATAATTATCGGGCATTATTTTCCTAAACAAATCACACGAGCCAGCGCGCGCAATATTAACTTACTGTTGACTTGGTTTAGAAACTAGCCAGCGGTAATTAATATTGTTATACGATGCGTGTAATCGGGATGCCGAAAAGCTGGGTTAGGGATGCAATAATGCATCATTGAATACAGAGCTATCTCGTAATTCATCGTTTAGCTGTACAATATACGTTTCGATATGTGTTCGTATCTAGGATATGAAGAAATTCGATAAAACTGTCATTTGGCCAGGTCACTATTCCTGCGATCTCGCGCCTTAAAGCCGTCGACGCGAGGCCGACAATGGCTTTTATCGAGTTTGGAAAAAGTAATGCAATATCTTGGCCGAGTAGCTACCTTAACGACCCTCGTGAACTCACAAGACTTCAAATATATATATATATTTTTTATCATATATCATACTAGACTTAATATACCAAATATGTATGTATTTTTTTCTTTGAATTAACGAGGAAAGATATTTGTATCAGCTCCGGCGCGGTACTTTTAACGGTTGCGCTTGAGAGGGAAAGGCATTGATACGGGAAAAGACTCGGATGTACTGAAACTGGGAAGGTGCAAGGTATCAATACATCGCGTCGTCGTCAGTCATGAATGTTGTATGAGTGTTTGTATCAGGATCGTACTTATCTCAAACTTTGCGTTATAGCAAACTTGGCGTTGCTGCGAGAATATTGGAAATATCGTTCGCGTTGTGTACAAGCTTTTCCTTCTTCATCCATTCTCTTAGTGCCATTTTTAGCTCGATTTCCACTTTGAGACTTATGTCTAATGTATAAGACATATGTTAAGGAAATCTAAATCTCGGCTCAATATTTGAAGAAACGCAAATGTTTTTACGAATAACAGCATGTCAAAATCAATATTAATATATTTCTTGTTGGAAAAATTGCATCTTCATTTAATTTTCTTTATCGTTTCTTCATCGTTCCGTCAATGCATAATTTTCGCTTTAACAGCGGCATATTATTGGAAATGTTGGACTGGAAATGTGCATTATGCTGTGCCGTAATGGCCACTGCCATTCTAAAGCTTTCTTATTGTTGAGCATTGCGTTGTGGCCCTATATATCTATGGAGAAACTTAGGAGTATGCGCACACCATAAAAATAAAGAAAGCAGAAGCGGACGATTTTGCGAGCATCTAATGTCGTGAAAATAGTATGCAACGGCTTTATAAGCGATGTTGACCGTGTTTAACGATATTCGATTAAAAATACATTAATTCTGTGAAACTCAGCGTTTGTGTAAATTAATTACGCAATGTACACAATTGTCTTTTCATTAATTAATTTACGGATTTATCGACAGCTTCATTTAAGATTATAATTTATATTTTCTATATACATGTGTTATTTATCTACATATACATATGATACTTTTTATTTAAGCATAATCCGCTGTGAGTATCGACTTTTGAACATCGTTTGTAAGAGAAGCCAAATAGCACCAAGAAAGGCTAGGGGCACCGGGAAAGAGATGCATGGCAAAAGCGGCAAACGTTTTAATTTGCATTCATGAGCCGTCCTCTCAAAATTCTTAGAATCACCAAGTATTCCGACTACGTCTCCCGTTATATTTGGGGAACGAATTCACTTACGGCGATCAATTTCTATACTGGCGAGAAAATCGTGCTGTCAGACGTGGCTATCCCAGAGATTGGCAATCGACAGTTTTTAGAATAGCGATCGTTGCTTATGTAAACTATCATATATTATGTATGAGGAGAGAAAATGGTATTGTTCTGAAATTCCTGCCCAATTTTCGTCCAATTTTTTCCTGTCCAAGTTACGACGGCATGTACAGTCTAAAAGTTAGTCACACTCTGATAATCTACAAAATGCCGCGATTAACGCTTTAATCCAAAGCGGTGCAATTTCACGCTGCAGTCGTTTTAGTCGCGAAAAAAGAATTCTCGGAACCATTACTCCTACGGTGGTGACGATTTCGCCACGCTGTTTTACAAACTTCCACACCGCAACACGTAATTGCACGTGGGCGCAACGCAAGGTGATACGTGGCATTGCATGGCGTTGTCGGAATAGTTTTAAGTTCGTTTCACTGGCGGATGCGAGATATATTCACAATCATCTGCGTGGCAGGCGGTCAGCGCAGTGGAAAGGCTCCACGGTAGCCTATAATGTAACGTAAAACCGTTGACAATCCCCGTCTTACCACAATCGCGGATTTCCTAATTAAACAGCACATTTAGCCGGGAACAAGCGAGTCAGCAGCCGCCGGCCCGGCGGGTATTAATAATTTACGAACTTTGTTGAAATTAATTTGAACGCCATTTGCGAGCCGCGTCTTGGCGGTAAGTCCTGTCCTAACTCTGCAGATTTAAGCAACTCTCCCTTCTGCCCACCCATATCCTCCCCTCGGCAGAATCCGTACCGAGGATATATCCGCATGGGTTTCCGGTTCCGTTCGAATGATGAACGTTCATATTTTCTTGCGCATTTTGGCGTAACCGCGAATACGAACATTCGTGCGCACTGCGTGCTTGTAGCAGTAGTTGCTATCGGCAGCAAAAAGTTCGTCGCCTCGTCATGAAATTTAATTTAGACTTTAAATCAGACTTTTTTGACACCTTTCCGATCATTCCGAAGCGACGATTCAACGATGAAAAATGACTTTCTTCAATCGCGCGATCTATATCTAGAGATACGTATCGATCCTCTTAAAGCGCGGATATTGTATAGAAATAAAATTATCGAAAATCTGTTGAAAACGTTCCGTTTCCTCTCAAAATTTACGGAATCTTTCTATTTTTCAATTCGCATCCGTAGAACGTCAAGCGCACTCGCAGAAAATATATCAAGGTTTATATTCAATATAAACTTGAGTTATAGTCGCGAAAAAAATATCACCGATCAATCTTTCACGTCGCATTAGTTTCTTGTGATATCGAATGTTTTTATAAATAAGAGAAGCCACGGACATCTCTTTTAAAATAGCTTCCAGCGTATAATATCGCGCATACGTAAGATAATTGATTAATTGCAAAGCTTTCCAGACAATAGCGCCTCATTGCATAAGCGTTACTAAGTGTTCTTTAATGTGTGCTTTTTCCTCTTTTTTGCATCTTTTTTTCAAGCGATGCGAATAGCTGCTACGAATAGATGAAGATAAAAAAGATGTAGCCTGTGGCCTAGAAAAAGGTTATCACCTACTTTACTGGCTAGCGAGCAGCTCGTTTATCGTTTGCAGGCGCGTTAAGTGACCTTTGAATTCTCGCAAGTTCAGCATACTTTATTATTCGGCAAAGGTCAATAGTTCAGCGTTATAATTTTATCTCTTATAATAAGCTGTCGAGGATACATGCATAATAATAATTTAATATTATTTCAATCTTTATTATATGAATTTTTTTAAATTTTTAAGAAAATAAGCTCGAACCAAGAGATTTCGTAAAAATACAATTTCTATTTTGACGACAGAACGAAGAAAAATATTTTGTAAATGCTGTAAATAATAGAAAAATTCAACCCGCAAATTCATTTATTGTTGAAAATAAATCGTGAATGTTTCAACGAATTTCAATGTCTTTAAAAATCTATACAGTTGTATTGGACTCTACGTGCAAAACTTTTTTCAATTTCTCGAAGCTTTACCAAAACCGATAATCAAAAACCTTTGAACCTTGTAGGTGACGAAAGTCCATAAAACTCGTCGAAGGTTACAATGAATTTCGTTCAAAAGACGATCGACAACGTCCAGCACAGACACATTCGGCAGCTGGTTCTAGCGCTCCCCGATGATATTTAATGTCATCGATAAGACACGACAGTTAACCGGAGACATGACACACGCCGGAAACAGACCGGCGCGGTCTTTACCAGAGAA